TTTTCAGTACAAATCGGCAATTTCATACTTTAACCCCTATTACTTTCAGAAGTGAAGTGAGTGAAGTGGGATAAGTATGGTCAATGTCTCAGAGCTGCAATCCCTACCCAGTATTGGATGGATTGGAAACCTATTCCATATTTGTAGCATCTATCAATACTTCTGCAATGACTTCTATCCCCCTGAAAAACACATCCCGTTGCCTTATTTCCTCTCCCCCATGGTGGGATCATGAGTGCTCGGTTATCGTTGCTAAACAAAAAGAAGCGGAAATCCTGTATAATTGTTCTATGATCACAAGCAACTTTTTACACTACCAGAATGCAGCGGCACAAGCCAAACGACTTCTTTCAGAGAAGAAAAAAAACTGACTGGTTACGGTTTTGCGAAACCATTTCGCCTCGCTCTCCACCTTCTATTATATGGAAAAACATAAAAAGATTACGCTGCTTTCAACGCAACAATAACGACCAATCCTGCTTCGATCCTTCACGTTGGCTTAATGATTTTGTAAATAAGCTATGCCCTCCGTGGGTACCCAGTCAAGAGGAGGCTTCTACATTTGCTGCAAGCTTGGTCTCTCCAGGGGAATGAATGACCCCTTCTCATTCTCGGAACTGCTCCTAGTTTTAAACCATCTAAAAGACTCCTCCCCGGGTGTAGATGGAACACCATATTCCTTCTTCAAAAATGCGAGGACTTCTGCTAAGTGACATTTTAAAAATTGGTTAATTCCATATTCCTTTCAGGATGTCCTCCCGAGGAGTGGAAGAAGCATATAGTGGTTCCAATTCTGAAACCGGGTAAAGATGCTTCCGATTCTTTCAGATATCGTCCTATCGCTCTATCATCTACCTTAGCAAAAATTATGGAACACCTTATTAAAAATCGGTTGGAGTGACTCTTGGAAAATAGAGACATTTTAGCTAAGAGCCAGTTTGGTTTCAGGAAGGTAAGCGGTACCATGGATAGTGTAAGCTTTCTGGTGTCCGATGTACGCCTGGCCTTCTCAAAGAATGAATCTCTGGTTGGTGTCTTCTTGGTTATTACTGCTGCGTATGATAACGTAATTCTTCCCCTGCTCAGGCAAAAAATGCATCAGCTGAGCATTCCGGAAAGATTGACCAATTTCATTTTTAATCTCTACTCGGGCAGGACATGCTTGATTCGTTTCCAAGGAGATTTGGTTGCATCAAGGAACGTTTGGAAGGGCCTCCCGCAAGGGTCTGTTCTCAGCCCTTTGCTGTACAATATTTATACATATGATCTGGAGAGACCAGTGAAAAGTTTTTGTAGTAACCTCCAGTACGCTGATGATCTGACTATGTATGCCCACGGCTCGTCACTGGATGACATTTGTTTCCGTCTGAATTCTGCTTTACAGTACCTTGGTGATTGGCTAGCTGACCATGGTCTTTCTTTGTCTGCTCCTAAAAGTGGTGTAGTTGTTTTCTCCCGGAAAAATAGTATACCACAAGTTTCCATCGCTATTCTAGAGCAGCGTATATCAGTATTTGACAGTTTCAATTTTTTGTGCATCATATTAGATTCTAAATTGACAGGCGTCCCCCATTTAACCTATATTGCCAAAAAGTGTGAGAGAAGCATTAATATTCTCCGTTCCTTGTCAGGCACTTGGTGGGGCTCACATCCATTCTGCTAAAAATATTCTATAATGCCATAATCCGTAGTCACTTCGACTACGGCTCTTTTTTATTGGAACCATGTCACAAAACTGTCCTCAATTTGAAAATCCAGTCTCGAACGCTCAAAGTGTCTTATCATCGGTGCCATGAAGTCTTCCCCAATAAATGTGTGACGTACCCCTACCCGCATTGAGCAACCTGGCGGTACATGGCCGAAACCCTCGTCTGAGAGGACACCAGTGCCCAGTAGTGGACGTATAAATAAATAGGCTGATGATGATGGTCTTTACCATATTACTCGGATTTTCACCGCATGGTCAGCGGACGCACTTCGTTCCGACTCGCGTATACATCACTATCATTTTTTATTTCACAACTGCCCAAGTTTACATTCTCAATACATCACTGAAAACCACATCCAAATTGGTTCAGCCATTGTGGAGATTTAAACAACAGCCAAAAATAGTATGTATGACTTGTATGTATGTATGTACAGTAATACTCATGAATCCATCAGAACTAATCAGCTTATACGTATACTGGTTTTTTGAAAATATATTTTTTTGGAAATCATAGTAAGAACAACAACACTGCCGCCGTTAGTTAAAAGGGCGCATGTGACATTTATTCAAAAAAATTGTTATATGTATTTGTGTAATATACTGCCATGATCACTAAAAAAAGACAGAAACAGATTGTTTTTATTTATTTTTTTCCTAAGTGGAAAGGTATGAAGTTACCGCAAGAGAAAAGTAGATATTTATTTTAATTTCACTCCTTTTAACATTATTCTCTCGGTTTTGAAATTTTGTCACAAGCGCCCTTTCAACTAACGGTGGCAGAACATTAGATTTCAAATAAGCGTTTAATCTTTTTATTTGTAATTTATCTCAACATAAAACATCTAGTGGAGGTTCATGGTCTCTGCTTACCCTTGTATACCTTACACGTATGTTTGTAAAAATAACTATTAAAAGTATTGAAAGAATTTTTTCTTTCTCATTGTCTCAGATATTTATTGTACCATGTATTTAACAGTGCATTAGTGACTTCATTACTCAGTTTTCGTCTCACATTCCGCAGACAGGGGAAAGCTGTGCTTGTGCGTTGTAATTATGCTACACATATAATTTAACACTTTTACGTCTGTTTCCAATACCCACCGTACCGCCAGTGGTTCGTTTAGTGGTACGATGGGTCCCGCGGGAATGTAGCTAATATTCTTGCGTGTTAAATTATATTAATGCATCTTTATTAGATTTGAATATGTTGCAAAGTTCAATGAGCTGCTTGCTGGACGTTTTGTTGTTCTTGGCAGTGCGTACGTCGGCGCGGCGCGTCACGTGCGCGCGCGCTCCTGCGCAGCCAGACCACGCCTTTGTAACTGTCACTAGTTTGCTCCACGGCATCGGCCATTCCCCACGGAAGTACTAAAATAATTTGAAATTCATTACTAGCGTGGATTGCGCAGATCTAAAAATATTGTCTTCCTCTTCAATCTCTACTAGTTGATAAAAGAGAGAACAATATTTTCATATCTGTTAAATTAGTTTAGGTAAAGAACTGGGAGTCACTGAATCAACACTATTAATTCCTACATTAGATTTTTTATGATACCAAGGCGGGACAAACAAGTCGTGCGCCTGATGGTAAGCGACACGTCGCCTGTCCATAACGGTCAGTGCCACTCAGAGTTTTAAATCATAAAGATCTGAGGGGCACTGAGGCCTGGACGAACTCTTTCACAAGGAGTTCCGCTCCTACAATACTAGTACTGCCACCTTACGCCAAGTAGTAATGGAAGCGTTACTGCGTTCTGGTTTTGAATGTTAAGGGTGCTGGTGAAATTACAGGCCCATGGGACTAGTCAACTGATGTCCCAGGGTGATGGGCCCAATGGCAGTGCCCCTCACTCAGATCTTTATGATTTAAAGCTCTGAGTAGTACTGTAACTGTTATGGGTAGGCGTGTCGTTTACCAACAGGCGCGCGACTTGTTCATCTCGTCACTTGAAATTACAAAAACTTCACTCGACGAACTCTTTCACAAGGACTGATACTCATAACAAAAAATCATCTAATTGCTAATTAACAGAATAGAATCACTTATTTCATATTATCAATGTCACAATATTAAGTACAATTTATTATTAATCATAATTAATCAAGGGATAATAATGATTGTCGTATAATAATTAGGAATTAAGTGTCGATTCTTAATTAATCCATTATAAATCATCCAATTAATATGACGTTAGGAATTATAAATAATAAAAGTGTATAATTCCTACGGTCAATCATCTGAAGGTCTTCCTGGAGGGCGCTAACGTTCAGAGTACAAATTGTTAATAAACCGTGATTGTGTATTAAACAGTTAAATATACAAAACCGTGAATAAAAAGTAGCGTCCGTGACGAATGGTGGAAGACTATGGAGGAACCTCAAACCTCTAAAGATTGTAGAGCGATGATTCCCAAAGCTGTCATGATCGTCCCCTAAGAGCAAACTCCAACCTACAAGGGGTTCATGTCAGAGAATAAAAAACAGAGAGTGCACGAGACGTTGATGGGGGTCCACAAGAGTGGAACCCATTTAAAGCGATTCCACACGACGCGATGCATTGGCGTTGCGCCGCCTATGCGGTGACACTGCAATGTAGGTATTACATATAAATTAGAACTACATGGCCCATGATGCATTGAAATGGCACGCGATGTCGGGACGCACGCGCATAGAACAAGGGGCCAGGAGACGAAGCGGGGAGGAGTGCTGCAGTGCGTAAGTAAGCGGTGCTACTTTAAGACACCGCATTGCTAATATCACACTTGGTGCGTTGAAATCATAGCGTTGCGAACACAGACATAGATAGACGCCGCAAGTGTACGTACTTCGCGTGCCCAATAAAAGTGAAATACACTTAGAGGTCGGTTGCCGCTGCTACACTTCAGAACGCGCTCGAGCGTTGTCGTAAACTGTGCCGTTGGCATTGGGCCGGTTTTTTTCGAAATATCGGCTGGAAATGCAGTTACGGTCAATGGGTTACGCTATCGAGAGATGTTAACACCTCAATTTTGGCCTATTATTGATGATACGGATATCAATATCATGTGGTTTCAACAAGACGTTGCCACAAGTCGACCAAAACAATGAAAAAAAAATAGTTTCATCTCCTACATGTAACAATTGCGAAAACCTAAGAAGTCGATACGAAACAATGAATTTATTGCAAACCAAATTTCCCGGTCGCATAATTTCACGAAATTTAGCCGTTAAGTGGCCAGCTCGATCATGTGATTTAACACCGCTGGATTATTTTTTATGGGGTTATGTTAAAGACAGAGTATATACCGAGTTAATCGAATCGATATGTAGCCTTAAAACTCAACGAAATATACCCCACCTTTTTGTCAAAAAGTGATTAAAAACTTTGATGAAAGAATCGTCATCTGTAACTGTGGTCGTGGTGGACATTTATTAGATATTATTTTTCATTCATAATTGCCAAACCTTACTTTTTTTTAATACAATAAAAATTAAATTTTTTTTAAGAATTAAGACTTTAATTTTTGATCGACGACGATTAATTATTAAAATTATTGTAAATTTTTTAAGTAATCAACATTTTTTTTAAATAAGTTTTAATAAAGGCCTTAATATCTTATTCTAGTATTTTTGTACTATATTAGTATTACGACTACTTGTAATCAACCAATACTTGAACAAAAATTATTCTATTTAGAATCGATTATAATAATAATAATAACGCATACACTCAACATATCGCGTATTTACGCGTATTCCGTTCAATCAATCGATTTAGAGCGGAAGGTTTCCCATCGCTAAACAGTTCTTGTGACATCATAATGGGTACAAAAAATGTAGCACGATTTGTTTTCATACAAATTGCTCTACTTGCGGCGTTTATCTAGATATATGTCTATGGTTGCGAAGACGGAACGCACCGGCAGCACCCGTATGGCATCGCTCTTAGGCAGGTCGTGACCATAAATGGAATAATCCACATTGCACAGATAATACTTCTGATACATAACACTTCCTTATAATTACACATAAATGGCCTATGAATGAAACATTTCACAACAAACAACATGTTCGATTAGGGCGCGTTCCCATTATGTCGTGACGTTTTATTTATCGTTGAACGACTGTCGCGTCTAGCCTGTTCCCATATCACGACTATCTGTGATGACTGTGTCGTGAACGTTTATTTTATCGTTGCACGACTGTCGTGTCTAGCTGTACCCACTAGATCGTGACGACAATTTATCGGTTCACAGCAGCCGCCTTATCGTTTGCACGACGGAATCGTTTGAAGTTGCGACTATCTGTCGTCACATTTTTATCGTGACGTTTTATTTAACGTCAGATGATTGTCGTTCCAGCTCTTCCCATTGTCACGACAGTCTGTCGTCGTAACGACAAGAAAGTCATGAACGACAGTTAGTAGAAAGGTTTTAGAAAAAATATGTCTATTAATGTAGCCATCTATGAACTAGTGTACAAGACTAACATGAATTTAGACAAAAGAATTCCCACCTGCGCTATTTTTATGGACATGACAAGAGCTTTTGATCACGTGGACCATTGTATATTATTAAAAAAACTTGATGACTATGGAATCCGAGGTAATGCCCTAAAACTTATAAAGTCTTATCTAGCAGATCGATACCAGTATACTGAGCTTCAACAAATATGTGCCAATAGTACTAGAGTCAGAAAGTTCAGATCGAAACGTAGAGCCGTGAAATATGGGGTGCCTCAAGGAAGCATACTGGGCCCTCTATTATTCCTAACATATATTAATGATATGCCAAAAAATACTAAATATCCAGTAATATTATTTGCTGACGATAGCACAGTAATTTTTGAATGCTTGGATAATAATTACAAACACTATGAAAATGAAATAAACACTACTCTTAAAAATCTTGTAGCCTGGATGGTTAATAATAATTTAAAGATAAATTTAAATAAAACAAAAATAATGCATTTTAAACAAAGATTGAGTATACCAGATATACATATCAAATATGACAACATTTGCCTAGAGAAAGTTGACACCACTAAATTCCTTGGAATAAGTATCGACGAAAACATGTCATTTCAATCTCATTCTCAAAACGTTTGTGCCAAACTCTACCAGTTCTCTTACGCCTTGTTTAAATTATCAAAAACAGTAGACCGGCAAACGAATCTTAAGGCGTATCATGGTTTCGGAGGGTCGACTTTACGATATGGAATCATATTTTGGGGCAACTCTAACTACAGGAACACAATATTTAGAGCTCAAAAACGATGTGTCCGAGAAATTTGTGGATTAAAATATACGGAAAGCTGTCGTCCTTTTTTTAAGTCTCTGAGACTGTTGACTTTTCCTTGCCAGTATATTCTTGAAATCTCTAGGTTTGTCAAAATGAACTCAAATTTGTTCTTAGTACTATTTGTTCGACGGTACAAAATCGTCATTTACGTCCTAGACCACATTTATTAAGCACAAAGATCTGCAAAACAGCTCTTCTTAGAAAGAGTGTTGTTCAACTCGCACCAGTCATTTATAATAAAATTCCTGATCGTATAAAATCACTTGAAACGCATAAGTTGCAAAATGTGTTGAGCAATTTATTAATAGATAAATGTTACTATGACATCAACGAATTCTTAAATGACACTATAACTTAATCTTTTTCACCTGACAAAGCCGCTTGACTTTTGTAATTTAATTGTTGGAATGAATTAATTTGTTTATATTATATTCACTATTTTGGACATTAATAATTAATCTGACATTCTTGAATACTAACGATATTATAAACATATGTAATACTTTAAATATATTTTCTTTTTTTTTCTTTTCATTTTTATATTGTCAATACCGGTAATTATGTTTGTATTATAATATTCATATACCAAATATACTTTCAATATGTTTGTATGCCAAATGTTTGGCCGGACACAGTGAAACTATACCTACCCATTTTGTACATGTCAACTTACATATCTAACCTGTGTTTTCACAAATAAATGAATTATTATTATTATTATTATTATCGTATTTATTTTAAACTCTCGCCTCTCCCAAGGCCTAAAAGATTAATTTTGAATTTTTAAATGGGAGAGGCGGTATTTCCCGGCAATGGCACAGTCGGCCGGGGTCAGGGACTCTTATTATTATTATTATTATTATTATCGTATTTATTTTAAACTCTTATTATAATTATTATTATTATTATTATTATAGTGTACTATATGTGAAAAACTTCATTTAAATATACAAGCCACGACACTTTAATCTGCACGACTATCTGTCGTCACGACATAATGGCAACGCGCCCTTAAAAAAACATTTATTTCGGGCGACAATGACCCATATCAAAATTAATTACAGTGAAATTGAATTAATAATTAATACCTACAGTTATGAACTGAAGTAATATAATAAAAATTAAAACGACAATAAAAGGTTATAAAAATTAAATGAAATAAAATAAAATTAAAATAAAATGAAATAAGTTACAGCCAAAAATTCTAATTAAAGTTACACGTACTACTAATGTCTAATTAATATTATTAATGTCTAGATCGATTGCCTCCATAACCGGCACCATAGCGGGCATGCTCATAACAACAATGCCGAATATAGGGGCAATCTAACCTGCCAGCTATCATAGCCAGGACGATATTGGAGCTGGCCCGCACTCTGCGCACCAGAGACCTTTCGCGCATCGTTGTGTAAAAGCAATCAGTGCATGCCGCCACGAACATATCCGAAGCGCTGCAGGAGCGGGGCAGCCCCAATAACGCCCTAAACGTAAAGCCTAAGTGTAATCAAACTAGGGTAGACTCTGTACTATGAGTAACAAAGCAAAGAGATTCACGTGGCACTGCTTTGAACACGATTTGATTCCGCCTTCCCTTTTTCATCACCGGGGGACTAGGCGTAGCCTTGGGTTCCACCCCTATGTTGTGGATATTCCAAAGATTCACTTTTATATGGCGAACGGCTATGGAGTGGAATTCCCTGCCTGCAGACTTGTTCCCTGAACTTTATAATATTAATATATTATTGAACTGCACACGGAGCATGCCGTACTCTCTTTGCGAATAGTTGGCCCACAGTGCGCCTTAGATAAATGTATGTAACTTACTATGTTTTTTATGAAATTTCTCACTATACAGTCAAACTTATCAAAAGGACTGTGTAAGCTTTCAACAACGCATTTGTAAAGCAAAAAGAAAAATTGGCACGTGGTCTATGAAACAAAAAGTTTGGGAACCTCTGTTGTAGAGCGACAAAAAAAATCTAGACAATGCGGCTTTGATCAGCACGCAACAGTACGGCAATCTTACTACCAGCTTTGTATGACACATGCACCGATCTCCCAATGCATACATAACATGTCATTTAAAATAGGTGCATAAACGTAGGCTAATAAATACCAATACAACATAACCCAAATGTTTCAGATGTGGCGTTACCTGATCAAAAGGCCTCCTACCAATGTGGAACATTATGTAGAGCAGAGGCGCCTTATTTAATGGTACGTTCGCATCACAGTTTTCCTGGATGCCTAGTTCTTTGTATAACCTTTCCGCGTGGAGTTGTAAATGGTCGTAGATCACCTGACAGACAAAGAATAGAGTTAAAATACATTTTCACTTCTCATGCTCTTAAAGTTCGTATTTTATGTTGTAGTGCATAAAATAGAATTTTATGCTCTAGTGCATAAAATAAAAAAACATCACATTAAATATGTCTAATTGTTGTAATTTTACTTTTTTTTAAACGAAAATGAAACAGTTCAAAAAATTTCACTTCCTAAATTGTTTGTACTTTTAACATCTTATCAAATTGGGTGGCCAAAATACACGAAAAACGCAATATTTTTACAAAATTAGTACGTATGCAAGTACGTTAAGTCGTTCCCTAAAACTTTAGTTACGTTTTCCATTCCACGCGCGAACAACTTCAGAAAAAAAATGTAATTACACGCCTTTAAATTTGTATGGAAGTTGAAATTATTATCTCGCTCATCAAAATATGTACTTTGAGGGGTTTAATTCCACCAGTAGACATACCCTCAGACTGTCTCTACCGGGTGCAGTCATCAGAATCTGACTGGTCAGCGCTGCGGCATCACTTGTTCTCTCCGCGTTCGATCCGACTACATCACCCTGCAAGATAAAGCAATTTTGTGTTGTGTTGTGTTGCACAAAGCAATTGCATAAAGCAATGTTGTGTTCTACCTACGAAAATTTGCCTGTAATTACTTAGTAGCCACGTTGAGGTAACAGACTCTGGTCAAAATGTTTCACAAAAATATATAATTTCCATCAGGTGAGATGGAGGTCAAATGCGCGATTTTAAATTTAAAAAAATATAAATATAGTAAAATCATGTTATTCATTAAAAATAAAATACACCGCAGTTACTTTTTCTCGTGAAAAATTAAGTGTATTAAGTTTAAGTGTTCTAACATTACCGTATGATGATGTATTAGCGGTTCAAACAGATTGATCACAAACTTAGGTATTTTGATTGTATGTCTTTGACATAATTATTATTCCTACCTCTTTCAATAATTCCGCGAAAGCTGGAAAATCTTCAAGTCCGAACTGGTTGGACAGTGTGAAAGTCCGGTTAGACTGATCGACGAGCTGTTGGATTTCCTGAGTATGTTTGTCATCCTCGTCAATGCAGCAGAGCGCTTCGGCAACCGCCAGAGCGGCTGATGATGGGCTGCTGTGTGAGCCGTCGAAACTCATTGAACTCGACGTGTCTAATACAACATTTTTTTATTATATTCGGATTAAATCCAGTACATTATCATCACAATTTAACAAATGAATGAATTACAATTCAGGAAAGATACAAATTGGAGTAAACGACATTTTACACTAATAACAGTTAAAAAAGAAAATATCGTCAAAATAAGTGAATAAATGCGCCTGCGCGTGTCTTGTGAAGCGAGTATGTTTATGTGGGATTCTTTATATGCGAGATGTGTTTGTGTATAGGGTGTGTTTGTGTGTTAATATAGTATTACTGTATTACTAGAAAGCGAAATAGGTAGTACCAACAATATAGTAAGTAATAACGGCAACGGGCTATATTGAATTCATATTCCAAATTAAAACGATAGTATGGCATTCAATATAACGCCTAAAATGCGAACAGTTTTGCTTTCATTTTAAACGAAACATTCTACTTTTCATTATCACCTACGAGTAAAATAAATAAATCCATGTTTCACTGCCACGGGTTTACTTTAAAGTATGGTACACCGAAGTTCACTCCGCTGACCCAAATCTAGAGTCGAGGATTAATATCACTAGTTTTGATGTTAGTATAACAAAGTTATAACTCACTATGAGTAAGGCTGACGATGCGGACATGTTTGGCTCGCGGCTTGCTCCTGGGATCCATGTCATGCGCTTGACCGTTCGCTGCCGCCGCCGCTGAAAATAAACCTTATTCAAAATGCCTATTGCATTACATTTTGCAGCAAATGCAATGTCAAATGTAAGAGAATTCAATTTGGTTTAGTTGCACAGTCTTCAATTTCCATTTCATTTGTAAAGTTAGATGTAAAATTTTGTAAGTACCTATACTTCGTTCTTGTTGTAATTACAAAAAATGTACAAAACAAAGAAGCAGTGGTCATGAACCTTTTACTTCAGACAACTAATAACAATGAAAAGAAAATATTTTTAACCTCTGTTTTTACGTTTTTATTTTTCCAATGCACGTTTTTGAAATTAATTAAATATACAAAGACAGAATGATTTTACTTAATCTTTAGTGAATACTACGAGTCAAAGAAACGTAATAATTACATCAATTATGTAGAAATATTTGAGAATTTCATTTGACGGTACGTACGTACGTGAGTAGTCTTTAAGTGAAACATATCTAACAAATTTATGGACCCTGTTGTCTGAAATAAAGAGATCTAATAATAAAATGGCAATGGGACCCAAAATCACTTCTGTCTAATGCCATAAAACACGAAGTATGAAATAAATAAAATATTATTAGGTTACCAGCCCTCTCCTTAGCGGCCTCTTTCTTAGCCCAGTTTTGTATCTCCTCATACGCGACAGTGATCAACATCTGCAATAACACAGAGCCACCAACTGGGCTCACGTTTGAAGGCAAAGTCTTCTCTATTAGGGTAGCCGCGTTTTGGAAACTTTGAGGTATGCAGTGTAGTGTACGCGATATGCAGGCGAGGCACAGCGACATTGTCTGTAACCAACCTTATTTACTTAATTACACAATTAATATTACATTAAGAAACTCTAAGCAACTCTAAGTTTTTGAGTTCGATGATTCGAAGTGATAGTTACAATGATAACTCATTGATAATTATCATGATGATAATAACGATAATTATCTTGATAATTAATACACCTTATTAATTATGTTGAATTTCTATTTTTTTTTATAATTATTACAAATTTATTGGAACGACGAAATGTTACCGCTAGCAATATCATGCCAAGTGTTCGTATCAGACGTTATTCGTGTAATAAACACGAAGAAAAACTAGTAGTTTATCGCAATGTTATTTTAGTCAAAATTAAAGAGACAAAATATAATTCTCATGAAATTCTCAGTTCACATCAGTTCTCATGAAATTTCGATATTTATGAAAATTTTTAGGAAGAATTTGTATTTATTTTTTGTCAATAGGGAATCGGACAATTTTTCAGAAAGTGTCTAGAATTAACTAAAATAGATATCGTGCGATGGTAATGTACAGTCCTTCCATCGCATGTAATTTTCCATATCATTCGGCAGCTAAAATTCGAATACATAATTATTACATTACATAATTAAAGGCACTAGTGAATATAACACAACATTTACTATATAATTATTAACACATGCTTCGATCTATGTATCACTCACTGCATAAAGTGTACTTACGTCGAAGTGATCCTCACAAAAATATATCGATGAATTTACAGACATTTCGTCGTGCTAGGACCAACCATTTTTTTCGTATGTCGGATTTTCGAGGTACATCAATAAATAGTTTATTTGGGGTAGTTATAGAAGTATTCCTACATTGAGGTACTACACACCAACGATATGTTATCCGTTCCATAACGACTTCAAACTTCACAAAAACTTTAAAATAACACCTTGCCCTTGATTTAGTAGCTTGTTTACCTACAAATGACGTCACGCGTTCAATTTGACATTTTGTTACGTTTGCGTGCCAATTTGTTTCTATTTAAATTTTAACGTAGTTTTAGCACATTTTAGAGACTATTAAGCTTTATTTTAATAAAATATTATTTTTCATGGCTGTACATATCTATTTTAGCTAATTCTAGACACTTTCTGAAAAATTGTCCGATTCCCTATTTCATAGTACTTATATAAATAGTTTGTGATGATATAGCGGTCCCTAAAACGAATGACTTAACAAACAATATAGGGCAGTCAAAACATTTGACGGTGAGGGAATGATGAAATCAAAATAAACCAAGAAAAAATGGCGATATAAAGTTACTTTTAGACTTAATATTTTGTGTAAGCTTACTGCTACCAATAACTCGTCTGAGTGAATAATTAATAGCCTAAAGGCCCAAAAGGCCCAAGTCATAGCGTTCAAAGAACAAATCTGCGGACAGGGAATTCCACTCCCAATTCCGTATGCCATATAAATGTAAAAGCGTAACGCTGCGTGCAAATCTTGGATAGGTATATCCACAACATAGTAGTGGAACCTAACCTAGGTTTAATCCACCGGTGATAGAAAGAGAATGGCTAAGTGATTTCATGCAATTCCTGTAGAATATAATGTGGAAGAATTTCGAAGATTTCGAAGAATAGTATTGTGCTTTACTTAAGCGCTTTAGATACCTTATTGTGGAAATTTTATGTAACATTAACGTTTTATTGGCTAGCTAGAATATCGGCACAACACTAAACAAATATAATAAGTAAAGTAATTTTTTTATGTTTATATTACTATTTATTTTTAATTTTTAACTTTGATTTTAATTTTGTAATAAATTTTATTTTTGGGTTTAATTGCATTAAATCTTTGTAATTTATGATCCATGTTAGTCGAAATAAATTACTTATTATTATTACTATTATTAAAATAAACTATAAATTATATAGAGATATGTATGGGATAATTATCAAAGAAAATAAATATCTTGATAATTTCGTACTGCCTCCTTTGTCGATATTGTATTCATATAGCTTTCGATAATTTCTTTAAATTAATATTCTAAGAAGCAAGTACGTTACATCTGCACGCTACAGGCATGCCAGTATCAATTCGATTTCGGACTATTGAGTAAACGACCGTGTTACGGGAAAGCAAGTCGGGCAGGCAATCGGGCTCAACATAAGGTAACCTTGGAGTAGCCAATGTGTTTTCAGTAGTAAAAAACATATGATAAATCTTACCTGATACATAGAAGCGCCGGCCTGTAAAGCGTTGACTAGAATAGGAGGTATGAATGCCAGTGCCGAGCCCACTATCGATAGGATAGCTGCCAACCATGGAGGTCGTTTGTCACACCATACCTATAAATTAACGACTTCAATACTGGAAGTATTTTTCCAAACTACGGCGGGAGAAAATAATTTATTTGGTACAAACGGTGGCCCGCAATTATATAATATATCAAAACTTTACTTAGTTGAAAAATGTACCTAGCGTTATTTGTATGGTATACGCTATAGCTTTGTGTGTGGCTGATATATGTACTTGCTTAAAATTTATAACGCAATCCACTCGATCTTAATTATTTTAGGGCTCAGTCGGGAAATATGGAAGTTAATTTTGTATCACTATAACGTATTTTATAGTACATACTTGTCTCTTATCTAAGCACGCAGCCCAATCCCTTCCAGATATTTCGAGCGCGTAACAGAGACTTGACTGGAATTCTGCTTTGCTTCCGATCGTTGCCAAAATGTACGTAAGAGCACCAGCTGCCCTGGCATACTCCTCTCCGGCTAGAAAAAAATAAAATTTAAAAATTTGAAACAAATTATATTATTTGTAATTATATTCTTTTGGTGCTTTCCCACTCCCACGGTCCGTGATGTCAAAAGCCCCGATTTGTATGGGTGAGCTCGCGAAACGGGCGAGTCCGGGCCACGCCTTTGAAGTTATCGACCAGCGGCGGATTCGAACTGGCCGCCACGCGCGAACACGTGCGAGAGCAGCTGCGTTTCCAAGACGCATAACGGGCTACGGGCCGTGTGAAGCCGCCTTTAGAATGAATACTTCGTATGTAATTTCTATGTATTTTTTAAGCAAAAAGTTAAAAATGAGGTCTAAATTGTAGTGAACACAATAATATTCCTAGTTAGCATTTTAATTACTTAAATTATAACTCTTTGACACGCGACGTTACTTTAATAACATATTTAAGCAAGAAGTCTATAAGATTTGCTTCAACGAAAATCAATGAAAACAAGCTATGTAAAAATGCGTTTGCGAGATTTTCACTCTAAAGCATTATGTATTCCCAACTTGAGCACATTCTGCAAAATGTATACACAAGGAAATTCATGTTCTTTGTTCGTATATTATTTCCGTAATGGCGGCGACTAGGTGTTACCAGTGTTAGATTCGATGTATGTTGCCAGTTAATATTGATCAAGAACGCCAACGTTTAGGCAGCAGCAACGATATTTTTGATAGAATTTCATGTATTTTATCTGCAGATTAAAAAACAAGGAGACTAAATTTCAATCATTGACAGAAATAAAAAAACAAAGCAGTAATTACCATTAGTATCTCCTTTGAACCGACAGAACCCGTCAGCTGTGCAAAGAAATCCATCACATTTCATATGCTTGCCCGTGACGCTAAACCACTGCCCGTCACTCGGCCAGCGTGAGTTGTCCAATGACATATGACGGATGGCATGAATCAACAATTTGCGCAAAAGGTGGCTATCACGCATCATTAGTACCTGAACATAACCAACATGTACTTTAACAATTTTTCTAATATTCATCTTTTTGACACCACTCTTTATAAATATAAAAAAAAACTGGCACTACAAATTGTAAATGGCATTTTATAAGTACCTATCGTTTAATAAACACCGTCTTATAAAATTCTAGCAACATACAAAACAGGAATGTTATCATTACAAATAATTCCAATTCGCAATAAGCAAATAAATTTTCATTTCATTCCCGTCATAGCCGTTGTACAGTCAACTACCTAGCTGTAGCTAGCTGGCTATACATGAGTGG